CATCCATTTCACAATTTTACCCCCCCCCCCCAAAAAAAAAACAAACAAAAAACAAATCATAAATACTGGTTACAAATTGGGATATACTAATTGGTGTGGAAATTACATATGAATTTAGTGTAAATTTATGTGGTACCCCCCCAAAAAAATGCTCTGCGAATTGGTAATGCATCATTAAAAAGAACAGATTCAGGAGAACATCAGACATGAACATCACTACATTACACTTTGCGATACTTCAGAACAAAAGACTGTCCTACCTGGCGTTGAGGGAATGACCAGGAAGCCATAGCCTTCCGTTCTGTAGCGCTGCCAGAAATCCAAGGAAAGAACTTTGAAATATAGCACTGGCCACTGGGGTAATGACCCTGCACAGAATATAAGCACTTGTGCTTATTCACTGGTACTTTATTTTCATATCATCAGGAGGTTGTCTATATAATGTATTTTTCTATTCTTTAGTTAAAGATATTCTGCGGCAATAAAAGGTCTCACCATCAGACTCGTCTTCCTTATGGAAAAAGGTCTCAAAGCTGAATGGATAGGAGAAGAAGGCAACATCCTCCTATAAAACAGAGAACATGCATGCCACATTTCCATGAACACAGAGCCGGGTGATGGGGTTTACTAAAATTACGTCTTACCTTTCCCACACTGCGTGTGCAACACGTCTGAGTCACACCAGACAGACAGTGAAAGGGAACACTTGACCAATCTGAAGAACATGGAAAAACCTCAATATCATGAATTACTGACATAAATTGCACAAAACAGTTATACAGTGACTAAAGTCTGGCCACTTAAGTCACGCTTAAAATGTCTCAATGTCATTTCATTAGTTTAAAAACCAAAATGTGTACTTCTGTCTTCATTTTGAACAGTATAAGTATTGTTTTACCATTTAAAACTTTGCTTGAAAAAGTGTACTTGTGCTTTCTTTCAAATCTTTATGTAAAATAAATACCACTTGGTTTGATTTTGTCATCAAATGCAATGCCATGCATACATGTATAAGTGTGACTTAACCTTTGAAATATGTTTCCCACTGTATGTGGTTGAGTTTAGGTTGACTTACTATTTGGTAAATCCAGGAAGAAATTGACATAAAGATTGTCATACTCATAGCCCTGAGCAGAAACTGAAAGGAAAAATTGCCATATTATGATCCGAGCAGAGTAACTTTTGAGACCCAGTTTGCAGTAAAATTATAAATATATTGCATGGACTGTGCAATTTAAGCATGCATTTGATGTACTGATGTTATACTGCTTTGCTTTCAGTACATTTGGGCTAATCCTAATGATACAGGATAACTGCTAGTACTCACCAATCTCTCCATTTACAATCAGGCGAAGTATTCCTGGAGGTGGCTAAAGGAAGTGTTTGGACAATCAGAATGAAAATGTTACCTTTTTTATTTGGAATGCATTTTAATTTTTTTTTTGAGACCATGAGTCTGGATAAGAATTATAATTCTTACCATTTCAAAGTCTTGGCCAACCAGGCTGTTGAGGTAATCTTTGTGACGTGTGTACAGCTAAAATAAAATAAAAAGAAAGGTGTGAGAATGATGACTCCACCAGAAAGGGGTCAGCAATCCACCAGTGAGCCTTGGGCCAGCCAAAGAATTCCATATTGCTCCAGGGACATTGGCCGTGCAATTTAAGATGCTTTGGATAAAAAGAGTTAAAAAATAAAATAAACTAAGAATGTCATAGTGTGTTATAGTATTATACCATTTATTTATTAGTATTATAATAATTGTGTACTATTGTGTATTTATTCATATTTTGTAAAAACTTTTATTTCTATATGTTCAGTTATAGTAATTTTCTTATTTACTTTTATTCATTCACTTTATTTATATAGCACTTTACAACTGCACCTGCAGACCAAAGTGCTGTACAATCAAGAAACACTTCATTAAAACACACAACTTAAAACAACACACATCCTACTAACAACAAAGACTAGCCCACCCTCTCAAAGGTTAAAGACAAGAAGTAGTTTTTGACTTCAACTTTAAAAGCATTTAAAGATGAGACCTCTCTAAGTTCCTGAGGAAGACTATTCCAGAGCTTCGGCCCCGCAACAGCAAAGGCCTGATCCCCTTTTAACTTTAAATGAGTACGAGGGACAGTAAGCAATAACTTATTATTGGATCTTAGAGACCTAGGTGCTTGACGAACAGCAACGAGCTCAGACACGTAAGCAGGGGCCATCCCATGCACTGCTTTAAAAACATACAATAGAGTTTTATATTTTATCCTGTAGTTCACGGGTAGCCACTTGAGAGAAGCTAAAATAGGAGAGATATGATGACATTTCTTAGCACCCACTAGCAGCCTAGCTGCTGCATTCTGAACTAATTGCAAGCGTGAAATAGTGGTCTGACAGGACTCCACATACAACACATTGCAATAATCCAGACGAGACAAAATAAAGGCATTAATAACCTTCTCTAACTTCTCTTTCTTGACAGAATAGGCTTTAGTCGAGCAATAGACCTAATCTGGAAAAAACAAGTCTTTACTACAGCATTAATCTGCTTGTCAAATTTCAGCAACCGATGCAAAATGACACTATATGTTGGTGCGCTGACCACGAGGCTATTGGCGCCATTTTAGCAATTTTAGCACTTCAGCTTAATTTATCTCAGTTAGTTGCAAAGGCAACATTTATTGTGCCTCATACAACACCTTGTTTTGGCCAAAACTTTCATTTCTATACTTTGCAGATATGGCAATTCCAAAACACATTGCCCAGATGATGAACAGTTTTACATTTTACATTAAATTATTGTACACAGAAATGTTTCAAATCAACCCCTTATGAGATTCCGTTTCTGTTAGGATGCTGCCTTAGAAGGTAGCTGCCAATGTAGGTGGCAGGCAGTGAGTGAGACAGTGAAACCACCAATCCTAAGCAAGGACAAAGGAACATACATCTCTGTACATGCGCTGCTCTCTCTCTTTCTCGTCTGCATGAATGTCTGATGAGGCGCTCTCCAGATACAGCCTCCACACCTCCCTCTTCTCCCACTGCGTTTCCAGCCTGGTGTGAAAGACAGTCAAATACACCTTCTGTAATCACAATGAACTCATCCCAATATTATTCACAAGAGAAATTGACAGAAGTGGTAGGTCTTGCCTGTAGGCTCCTCTGTTGTTGTTAAAGTCTGGTTTTATTGTGATTACTCCATTACCATCTGCTTTTATGGTGCATAATATATATTCATTCTCTTTCAGGCCCAACCTGTAAAACACAGTTACATGTCTGGTTATTTCACATTACTTTAAATGGGTCATATCATAAAAAAACTTAAATTTTTTTTTTCAAATGTCAGTTAAATTTTATGGGTAAGATAGAGAGTGGAAAATGGTGATATAAAACTACAAAATACCCTTTTTGGTGTAAAAAACCTTCAACTGCATTATAAGTGGAGCTCTGGTCAAATAAATTGTAATGTATGATATGTTTAAGTGGCTAAAGTAGAGTATCATCACACTTACTTCCCTGAAGGCCCAAGATCTCCCATGATGTGCATGGTCTGCACTGGTGTGTTGATGATGTGGCTGTTCTTTATGAACTCCTCAGAAGGCTCCCATGTGATTAAACGGGACTTGTGAACAATAGACTCTCTAAATTGTGTAAAAAAAAAATAAAAATACAGGTTAACCTCCTTAACTTTTCAGATATGATAAATGCTTTACAGAAAACCATCTTACAGGCAACTATAATATAGGCTTCTAGGTACACTTACACAGGACGTCTCTCTTGTCTCCTGTGTCTAACATTGGCCATGCGTTCTGCTAAAAAGGTTGGTGTGGACTGAGCTGGGATCAGCAGACTCTGGGCTTGCTGTCAATACAATCACAACTTCTGAAAACTGTAAGAACATATGCAGCCTATTCATCCATTGGTGAATCTCACCAAACCTGTCAAAACCATGTCTGGGTCATATCTAACACCAAATAATTAATTATTTATTAAATAAAGAAATAAGAAATTATATTTTGCTTAACCTGTAAAACACAGTTACATGTCTGGTTATTTCACATTACTTTAAATGGGTCATATCATAAAAAAACTTTAAAAAAAAAAACTTATTTTCAAATGTCAGTTAAATTTTATGGGTAAGATAGAGAGTGGAAAATGGTGATATAAAACTACAAAATACCCTTTTTGGTGTAAAAAACCTTCAACTGCATTATAAGTGGAGCTCTGGTCAAATAAATTGTAATGTATGATATGTTTAAGTGGCTAAAGTAGAGTATCATCACACTTACTTCCCTGAAGGCCCAAGATCTCCCATGATGTGCATGGTCTGCACTGGTGTGTTGATGATGTGGCTGTTCTTTATGAACTCCTCAGAAGGCTCCCATGTGATTAAACGGGACTTGTGAACAATAGACTCTCTAAATTGTGTAAAAAAAAAATAAAAATACAGGTTAACCTCCTTAACTTTTCAGATATGATAAATGCTTTACAGAAAACCATCTTACAGGCAACTATAATATAGGCTTCTAGGTACACTTACACAGGACGTCTCTCTTGTCTCCTGTGTCTAACATTGGCCATGCGTTCTGCTAAAAAGGTTGGTGTGGACTGAGCTGGGATCAGCAGACTCTGGGCTTGCTGTCAATACAATCACAACTTCTGAAAACTGTAAGAACATATGCAGCCTATTCATCCATTGGTGAATCTCACCAAACCTGTCAAAACCATGTCTGGGTCATATCTAACACCAAATAATTAATTATTTATTAAATAAAGAAATAAGAAATTATATTTTGCTTAAAGAAAATAAAGCTTCATTTTGAAATGTTACGATTCTGTATTGTGATATTATTTTCATGACAATTCTTAATTTCTCAAATTCTCTTTTGGCGGGAAAACCTATTCCATTCCCATTGACTTCCATTAGTGCAAGTCACTGGGAATTGAAACTGTTTGGTTATCAGCATTTGTTCAAAATATATTTTTTCATGTACAGCAGAATAAATAAATGCATACAGGTTTGGAATGGCATGGAGGTGAGCAAATGATGACAGAATTTTCATTTTTGGGTGGACTATCCCATAATGGTCTTAAAATTATGTTTGATTTCTCTATACAAAATAAAATGTCTTATTTTCATTTCTTTTGATTTTGTGGTGAAATATGACCTGGGTATGTTTTTGTCAGATTTAAAAAAGAAAATAGTAGAGTGAGCTGACCTCTTCCCATTTGGAAAAACGATCAAAGTCTGTGTAGGTGAAAATGCGCTGGTTTTGTCTTCTTTTGGATCTTTCCATTGCCATGATTTCTGTGTGATACTGACGCTCCAGTGGTGTTTGACAATTTGACTCTGTTTGGTAAAGGTCCACTTCATACTGCATATCAATGACAAAGCAGAACTCATCAGATACACCAGGGTGACCAGATGTGCTTGTTTTCCGGGGACAGTCCCAGTTTTTGGTGTTTTGTCCCCATCTGGAGCTTTTCCTGGAAATGTCTCTGTTTTACAGCACATTCAAAACAGCCCACAAATACAATGCAAAAAAACCCCTGACCAACACATCCAGCTGGTTATCAGAGCAATCGTGTAGTGATTATTTTCACCAACAAATTCAGCTACAAGCTACACTGATTACTTGGTCATGCGCCGCTACTTCAGTCATGAAGAACTTAACTTTAACTTAAACTTCATCAATTATCAAAAGAGACCTTTTTTTTTTTTTAAGTAGTAACATATACTAACTATTTATGTTTAATTAAATACTGTTTGTATGTGCTTTATTACAGGGCTTCAACAGGGTGCAGGGTTGTATTGTAGACAATTTTAATTTGCAGTGTAATACATTTGCAGAAAACACATACTTTGTGCTCAAAATGAGTCTAAAATCCAAAATAATAAGCCTAATTAAGGATAGTAAGAGTAATTTCCATGCACAAAACATAAAATACCATTTTAAAAGTAAAAAAAAGTTGTAATTGTTGTATACAGTATAATCAGTTTGTAAAAATTAAAAGTATTATGTACTGTACAATTAGAAAATTTGTAAAATATTTATTTATCATGTTCTTATATAATGTGTTTTTGTAAAGTCATAATTCTGTTATAATATTGTGCTATTCACAATGAACGGGGAAGTCGTGGCCTAATGGTTAGAGAGTCGGACTCGTAACCCAAAGGTTGCGGGTTCGAGTCTCGTACCGGCAGGGATTGTAGGTGGGGGGAGTGAATGAACTCTTCCACCTTCAATACCACGACTGAGATGCCCTTGAGCAAGGCACCGAACCCCCAACTGCTCCCTGGGCGCCGTAGCATAAATGCCCACTGCTCCGGGTGTGTGTGTTCACTGCTGTGTGTGTGCACTTTGGATGGGTTAAATGCAGAGCACTAATTCCAAGTATGGGTCACCATACTTGGCCACATGTCACTTCACTTATTTTTTTTTTTTCAGTTTCACAATGGTTACTATGAACTATTTACATAGTGTGATTTTTTGTGAACTGTATTAAAACCAGTCCAAAAATCATAATAATGAAACTAACATAATAATAATAAAAAAAAAAAACAACAACAAATGAGATTTCAATGATATTTTGACCACTTAAATAGGAAATGTCCCCGGTTTCAGAAATTTCAGAAATCTGGTCACCTTCATTTAGTTGCACACACACAGCTTTGCCCTCACTAGTGGCCTACCTGACTGAAGAACTTCTCTTGCCAACCAACCACCAGCTCCTCCGCATCAGTGGCTGTGTTAGAAAGAGAACGAGAAAATTATTATCCACCATATTCCAGGGAATTGTTGTGATAGGTTCATATCAGCGTTTTTCACGTACTGGAAGCAGCTCGAGTCTGAGAGCTGAAGGTGTCCAGCTCTATAACTCCTCTCTCCTGCTGGGAAAGCACTTGCTGATGGAGATGTTGAGACAGAGCGGCTGTGGAGGTCACCCGCTGTATGCGCACTCTGAAACAGAAACAAAACTGTTACGGTATACATGTTGTTTTTGGGCATATTACAGTTGTATTATTTTTAGTGACTTGGAGCATCGTGTACAGTAAATACAGTGGTACATGGATTTGGTAATCATTCAGAATCATGGTAAATGGAGTCCTATGGCAGTTTCATGGTGCACTTATGTGTAAGATGGGCATACCATAGTACTTCAATATCATGGAACTGAAATTCATAAACAATAGTATTTACATTGTACTACAAGTTGTTTCTAAGAATACTACCATGGTACTAGATATGGTAAAGACATTTGGTGCATTTAATAGTGTGTATACTTTTATTTTAGATGTCAAGCACATTCAGGCGACGTCACTTACCGTATTCGTAAGTTTTTAACCGCATCCCGGGAACGGTAAACCGATTCTCCGGTGTCAGTGCACCAACCGTCGGCCATATCTGACACTCGGCCTCAAAAGATAGAAGAATTTAGCTGTAGTGTATCATTTGCATCGGTTGACTATTAAAAAACTCACACCAAGCACGAACAAGGATCAACAGTTTTAAATTATTTACTTCTTAATGGAATACTCCGGTAGGAAGTTAACGCGACACATCTGAGCGTCTCGTTGCATAGTAACATACTAACGGAAGCAGCCGGAAGTTAATTATGCGCATGCTCGGTGCGGATATAAAGACGCTGTTCTCAAATCAGCCAGAGCTGCTCTCTGACTCAGACCACAGAAACGCGGGCGATGACTACAGCTGATCTGGGAGCGGAAGTGATAGTAAACACACTCCCTACTTCACATCCGCGTTGAACACTGCCTATGAACCGAAAGCTGTTCCACATGTTTGTGTTTGTTATTGACCAACGAATATAGTGGATTAGAAATGCCTGAGGACGGTTCTTGACATCATTTTACTTGGCTAAAATTGAAAATTCTGCTTTATTTAATGTGCACACAGTGTTGCTGGTATTTTAATCCTGAAGGGCACCGTGGCCTTTTGGTTAGCAGCAGCGGCAGCACTAACTAAGAGCAGATTATTCTTTCCTTTTTTAAGAAATAATGAATAATCACTTAAAAGCAACATACAGCGTTGAATCTTGCTGCTCTTATCTTGTTTCCTAGCGGGAGTTTAGCTGATTTTGCTTGTCAGCCAAGCCTGACCAGTTTGACAAGTACCCAAAACGGTTCTAAAACCATCAAACCAGGTTGGTTTAGGCCTGCAAAAACCAGCAGACCACCTGAAGATGGTTTAAGCTGTTTATTAAGGCATATCTTGGCAAGTTATTAAAGGCAAATATGCAGGCATGGAAAACATGTTTCAAAGTCTTCCTAGCCTCCAACAGAACTAGGAATAGATGTTGTTTGGTAGGGCTGAAGGAATTATATTTTACACCTTTCACACAACGTGCAGCCTATAGTTGCACAAGAGCACTTTTCTGTCCAAGAGACAAGTCAGGTGAGAGATTTACCTCTAGTAAACTCAGAAAGACATTTGTATCTAAGCAGCATAAATATGCTGCTAACAGAGATGATAATCCCAAATCAACAAAAACACAGAGCGGAAAAGTGTCATCGGAGCTTCAGAAACTGAGGTTTGAGGATTTCAGTGAGTCAGAAACCGGAAGGCTTTTGAGACATATCCAAAAAGAATCTGAGCCCAATGAAGGTAAACAGTTAGAGATTGTGTTCGGTGCGGCCCCATGTTTGCTGGCCCTCACGCAATGTAGGAGGAAGCCGAGTCGTCTCTTTGTGAAGAACGGTGAGGGGCCACAGAGAGATGTGATTTTGAGGGTCTGTCAGGAGGCCGTCAGACGGGACGTGCAGATACAGAGAGTCAGTAAGCAGACACTTGACAAGATGTGTGGCGGTAAGGTGCACCAGGGGTTGTGTCTGCAGGCAAGTCCTCTTGGGTTTATCACTGAGGAAAGACCGATGCCATCTCATGAGGTGAAGAATCACAGGGCATTATGGCTGGTTTTGGATGGAGTGCAGGATCCGATGAATCTTGGTGCCATTTTGCGCTCTGCGTATTTCCTGGGAGTGGATCGAATTGCCAGCAGCATTCATAACAGGTGGAGTTAAAAGAGGCATTTGTGTTTAATTCTTTATAACATAGTTAAATGGAATGTAGGATCTAAAACAAAGACCATTGTTTATTTGGTCATGTATTTTGTTTATGATTAAATTAAAATGTGTTTTACATTTAACTTTGTATTAACCATTGAAATGTGCTTATGTTTATTTGCTGTCTTTGTTAGCTGTCCTCTGACGCCCACAGTGAGTAAAGCCAGTGCTGGTGTGATGGAGGTCATGGAGGTGTTTGGCTACAGCAACTTGAAAGATATGATTAAGGTCTGGAAGTTGATCCCTCCACTTCACCACCTTACTTGGAATTACAATGGGATTTACATGTTTTGACATATCGGGTAGCCTATCCTATTGGGTGGTGACCGTGATTTCACCAAGTACAACATGTTCCTGGATGAACATCCTTGTTGATCCTGGAACAACATTCCAATTAACCAATCAGAATTGAGGGATCACTTTTCAGGAAATACCTGTTTTAGGTTTACAATCAGGGTTAGGTGCTTCTACACCAGTGGTGCCCAAACTCGGTCCTGTAGGGCCGGTGTCCTGCAGAGCTTAGCTCCAACCCCAATTAGACACCTGAACAAGCTAATCAAGCTCTTACTAGGCATGCTAGAAACTTCCCGGCAGGTGTGTTGAGGCAAGTTGGAGCTAAACTCTGCAGGACACCGGCCCTCCAGGACCAAGTTTGGGCACCCGTTTCTACACCCTTGTTAATCAGCTATCATTTCACACTGATTTTAGGAATAAATTATGGGTAGGGATTGGGTTTAGTCTATATTTTTGGACAGTAATGTTGATCCAGGATCAACAAAAGATGTTGATCCAGGAACATGTCTTACTTGGCAAAATTTAAAACCAAATATGGAAGTGGCTCAGAATGGATGCGAAAAAATCAGATCTCGTGAAGATTTTTGTGTTTACACATGTGAAAACACATGCTGCTGGTTGCTGGTTACACGCCAGTGTAAAAGCAGCCTAAGTTTCCATTTGTAGCCAGTAGAGGGCATTTAAATAACACAATTGTGGTTTATTTTCTTTCTTTATTTTATTATTATTATTATTATAATTGTTTTTTTTTGGCGAAATTATTTGACCTGAGGGGGAAAAGCAATGCTAACTAATCAAATACATGAACACAAAATACGTGTTCAAAGTGTTATTGCAGTGAATTCCACCAGGTAATTAATGTCACTAATATTAATTATATAAATACATAATAATTATTGGTTTTTACTGCAAAGCAAAACAAAAATGCCATAAATATGAGCACAATTATTGAGAAAAGCAAATTTGGTTCAGAAAGATGTCCCATGAAATTATGTTTAACGGTAACAGACACAGATCTGTAAATTGTTTAGTGAAGAAAAATAAAGAAATGCAGATGAAATTAATAGAAAATAGTTATGTAAATTGTTGTCAGAAGACAAAATAGAACATCCTTCTTTTGTTGTTTTTGAAACTTAATTTATTTATGAAATGTACAGTAGGTTTTCATAATTAAAAAAAACCTTTTAATTATAGTGAATGGAAAATCCCTTCTGTGGCCTGTAGAGGGTAGTTAAAGAAAGCCATTGAAGTTGAGACTTTGTCTGCCTAGTCCTTTTGCAAAACACATCTCATACTCAATCGTCAGGATTTCCATTGTGTAATAGCTATAACCAAATTTGTCTTGACATTATAGGTGAAAGCAGAAGAAGGTTGGCAAGTAGTTGGCACTGTTGGGTTAGAGCAATGCAGCCCTGAATCCGCTGTTGTGCCATGTTCAGATTTCAAGATGTCCAGACCTACACTCCTGTTAATGGGTAACAGCAAGTTTGTGTTTAAATGTATTTGGACCGATAATAGTTTTGCTCTCTTTGTGTTACGGTGGTCTGTCTGTGTGTGTGCTATCAGGTGGAGAGGGTGACGGTCTGTCTCCAGAACTGCATCAGATGTGTGACGTCCTGCTCACCATTCCTCCACGCAGAAACCTGCACCCTGGGGTAGAATCACTCAATGTGTCTGTAGCCACAGGTATGTTTATATATGTAAATATTGTTCTGAATTGCTGGTAACCTTAAAATGTACTTGCTAGGAATGAACCACAGCTCAGGGTAAACGTAAATTAAACTTTTTTTTGTTTTTTTTTACATAAAAAAAAAATGAATTTACATTTTAAAAAGTTTACGTTAAAAAATATTAAATAAAAAATTAATGAAAACATCCCCTGTAAATGTTTATTATTGAATTAATGCCTCTGCAGACATTGTCTGTCAGATATCTTTATTCACTCTTAGAGGCAAGTGTTGTTGAATGTGTAGCTGATATGAAGTAGTTTTTTATTAAAAAATAATACAAATAAGGTTTATTTTAAACAGTTGAACAGGTTTCAGGATTCCATTTTTATAAACCAATTCATAATACATTTTTATGTAGCTAATTTGCCCTCTTTTAATGTGTTGCTGGTTTTTTCCTTCTCGCAGGCATTCTGCTGCACTCTCTTCTGTCCACACGCACAGGAAACTGATGATGATGATGGCAACAACAACAAGGCAGCAGCATTATTTACTCAGGCGTCTCTCATTAGCCCCCTACAGTGATTAATGACTGGATTACTTCATCAATTAACAGTCTGAGAGTCTGGAGAGAGGCTCATTGGTCAGATAAAGAGAGGCTGTAGATGCATTCTGGACCAGTTACTGACTATGACCACCTTGTTTAAGACAAGACCTGTGCTACACATGGTCTCTATCATCTCAGGGAAAACATGCTTGTATAAACAGATATGTAATCTTTAATTATCCACCTTCTTCATGAAACATGTTAATTAGTTCATGTGCTTATCACTGCGAACATTTGCCACAAGATGAAAAGCCATGTTCATTTTATTTTGAATAAATATTGATCTTTATGTTTATTAATATTGCTTTAAAAATACCCATAAAAGCTGGAGATGTAGGTAATGACAGTTTATATACTCAGTTGACTCTGCATTTTCATTTATGGATTTGGCAGTTGCCAAAGCGACTCTCAATGTATTCAAGGTATGCTATTTATCAGTTCCCTGCGAATCAAACCTTTGACCTTGGTGTTGCCAGCAGCATTCACTATTTTTTTTGAGCTATAGGAATATACAACTTCTTTTTAGATGCTTGTTGAGGCTAGTGCACATATGTGCGATAATAAAGAAGCAAATGTTACAAATATTCATTAATTGAAAGAGCTTACAATGCACTTTAACATTTTGGTGTTAATGTAAGGCTTTGTATACACTACCATGCACAAAAAATATTAAGCATAATAACTGTTTTCAACACTGATAATGATAAAATAAAAATTGAAAAAGAGCACCAAATGAGCATATTAGAATGGTTTGTGAAGGATCATGCTATTAGGCAGTGTTCAGTAAGAAATACTAGTGTACTAGTAAATACAGCACTGCATACTGTACTGTTTACTGCCTTGCTGTTAAAATAGCATTTGAAACAGCATGGATTAAACAGTACAACAATAAAAAAGTAGTATGCTTACATGGCTAACTGTTCCCTGTATTATGGGATGCAGAATTTT